TCTTTTCACAGAGCAAAAGTTTTAACATTTGGTGGTATCCAGTTTCAATTTCCAGTTTATCAATTTCCAGTTTCAATCCAGTTTATCAATTTCTTTTATATGGATTGGGCTTTTGGTGTGGTGTCTAAGAAATCTTTGCCCCATCTGATGTCACAAAGATTTTCTCCTAGGAATGTTCTGTTTTTACATTTTAGAATAGAGGTCAGCACACTTTTTCTGTAAAGAGCCAGATGGTAAATATTTTCAGCTTTGTCACAATTACTCAACTACGTAGCTATAGGGCAAAAGCAGCCCAGACAATACATAAACAAATTAGAGTAGCTGTGTGCCAATAAAACTTTATTTATAAAAACAGGCAGTGGGTCAAATTTGGCCCCCAGGTCATAGTTTGCCGACCACTGTTTTAGAAAGTTAACTTTTACCAGGGGTAGAAAATACACCACACCTCTCTGGATAATGAGAATGAGTAATTATTGTTCATCCATGAAGGCAGGCTGAAGGAGAAGGCAGAAGAGTAGATGCCTAACACAGAACAAGAGTGAAGAGAGGGAGTGATAAAGAAAAAAGAGGAAAGAAGAAAAATGTTAGAATCCCATTTGGAGCAAACTTCAGTGTGTTTTTTATCTTTATCTTTTTAAAAAAATTTTTTTCAGAGTGCATTTTAATTTCTTAGAGTTTACCCTTGCACTTTGGTTCAGGTTTCAGCAGATGTTTTTGTTTGCTTTTGAGCTAATGATCTCAAAGTCTCCTGGTCACAGACAGTTTAACAGGTTTGTGGAGTTTTTCATAATTAAACCTGTTAATGCTGGTGGTCCTGTGCTTTCTACTGAATGTTGGTATTATCTAACCATTCCCCAGTAATGCATATTTAAATTATATTCAGTGTTTTACTTTTACCAGCCAGGGGGTTATGTGTTCTTATGCATGTTCCCCTACACATGTGTGTTTATTTCCCTAGAACAGACTCCTACAGTTCTGAGTTGGAGGATAGTATTCACATAAAAAATCTTGGTAGGCACTACCAAGTTATCCTTTAAAAAGGTGGTACCATGTCACACTCATATCAACAGTCTATAAAGTATTTCCCCTTTATCTTTAAACTGGATTTATTCCCTCTAACAAGCAAAAGGTAGCATCTCTTATTTCACATTTTCTTCATTATTCTCGAACTTGAGCTTCTTTCCATAGTTTCCTAGCTATTTGAATTGCTGGCATCTATTAATTGCGGTTAATATCCTTTGATCACTTGTCTGTTAGTAATATATATATATATATACTAGAGGCCCGGTGCACAAAAATT